ATTTGATGCTTCTTTTTCTCACTTCTTCTTGTTGCTGTTGTGTCTTCTTCGAATGAGCTTCAGCTCTTTATATAGCCCTTGCTCTTCTTAACCGTCGCTGGTAATCTGCAGACGTTACACAGAAATCCCGCGTTCGTTATACGTTTCCATAACTCCCGCAACCGTTACAACTTGTGTAAAACGTGCAAAAAATAAAACTTGAGAAGCAAAAAACTTGTGCGAGTGCGGTGTGCGTGCGGAACAACAGCCCAAACAACACTAGGCCCAAAAAACTAACTCAAAGCCCATAGAGATGTGAACCATTATAAACTTCTTGAACTTCTTCTCATTTTTCGATGTGGGACTATTCACAAAGGCAAAATTGCCTTTTCATAAACCAAAAGTCCAACAAATTACGCTTCTCCAGAAGATACTGAAATGAAATCTAAAATTGCAAATTGCCATAGGGTAAAATACAAAACCGCCTAAACCCATACAGATAAATGATATCTGCACCCCACTTCGCAGCTGCAAGCTAGGGTTTTGCTTCCTTGTTCCTCTTTAACAAGAAAGGGGTAGAAAAGGGGGGAGAAAAGAAAATAGAGGAAAATGGATTCGTACTCATCGCCTTCCTTTTCTTCAGAATCGTCAAGCCAGTCGCCAGAGGCAGTGATGGACCAGCTCAAGGCCCACTTAGCTCAGGCCTACGCTGAAGAGTTCCTCGAGGTCCTCCAATCTCTCTCTTTTATCTCTCTTTCATTCTTTACTTTTTGCTTTTAAAGTCACATTTGTTTCTTTCTTTTTTTTGGTTTATGAGAAATGGACTACTGGTTAATTGCTTGTTGAAGTTAGCCTTAACCGGTGAAACCTAAGGGAAAAAATATAGTTAGAGATTCGGAATTAACTTTTTTACCCACGGATAGATATCATGAATTATTTAAAATTGCGTGTGGAGTTAAAAAAAATATGTTAAGAGTTAAATATTATATATTTGAACTGTTAATCTTGGCCTAAATAGCGTTTAGCTGTTTTTACATTAAATTTTAGTGGGTTTAAAACATTGAGATAGTAGGTTAAGAAGGCTATTGTTTAAAATAGTCCATTTTAAGGCAATGTCATGGACAAGAAACCACAAAAATGTCAAACTTTTTGTTTTAAAGATTTTTCGTTAATTTGTGGCAGAAGTGTAAGAATGAGAGTTTTTGAGAAATATAAATAGGGACAAATTTTTAAAACCGACCCATTTGGGTTTTTAATTGTAAAAAACGACCGGTTTTGAAAATATTTACAAAAACCGACCTGTTTTCAGCCAGGGGCTGAAAACAGGTCGGTTTTTTTAAATTTTTTCGGGAAACTTCACGGGAGTTGAACTCCCGTGAAGTTTTTTCTCATAATAAAACTTCACGGGAGTTGAACTCCCGTGAAATTTGGGAAAAAAAAATTTCAAAAACCGACCCAGTTTCAACCAACTGGGTCGGTTTTTATAATTAAAATTAAAATAGGTCGTTTTTTGCAATTAAAAATCCAAATGAGTCGGTTTTGAAAATTTGTCCATATAAATAGAAAAAGAGCTGTTAGCAAGACTAAATAGAAGCATTATGAGAATTTGTGTGAAAAACCTAGATTCTAATGAGGAAATAAAAATTACTAATGGATTATAGCTTTTTGTAGTTCAGTCAGTTTGCTTACCTAATAAAATGTAAGCCGATTTAATTTGCTTGGGTCCACAACATCTGCTTAAAGTGGGGTTGATCCAACTCGTGCATTTACGTCCTAATCGATCCATTAGCCCCTATCTCCTCTCAATCTCTCGACCCCTTTGTGCTGCTCAACCTCATTTCTTTCCAAGCTACACTTCTCCCTTGTGTATATATAAGGTGTTGGTTAATCCTCATTCTTCTCTGTTTTCTCAAACTTATCCCATCTTCTTCTCTCTCTTAACTCCTATTGCTAATCTCTGTCTCTACTTTAGTTTTGTCTGAATTCTATATCAGCATTCAAATTATACACCAACCATTCTGATGGAATGTCATCTATTAGTGCACACATCAATCATCTTTCATTGATTACAGACGCAACAACCCTTTTAATGGAATTCTACATAAAAGACTATTTGTCTATCCATTACAACCTAAGATATTTTCTTTAACGCTTTGTTTGGGAGTTTATTAAGGGAAGGGATGGAAAGTTAAATAATGGAAAGGAAAGGTAGGGAATGGAAGTGAAAAGATAAAATGTTATTTGGGAGTTTAGTAAGGGGAACGGAAAAAAAAATTGTTTTACAGTGTTTTGGAGTTCTAATAAAGAGGAGGGAAGTGAAGTGAATATGTATAAAGTTACATATTGGATGGGAGTATATCTTAGCCATTGATTTTAATGTCATAAGGGAATAATTGTCTTATTACATTGTAAAATTTTACATTTGTTTCCATTCCATCCTCTACCCCTAAATTAGAGGGGAGAAAAATGGAAGGAAATTTAACCTTCCATTACATTCTCTAACCCCTCAAAAAACTCCCTCTGAACCCCTCAAAAAAACTCCCAAACAAGGTGAAATTAAAATTTCAGTTTAACTTCCATCCGTTAACCTCCATCCAAACAAGGTGTAAGGCCTGATCATTTAAGGTCTAGCCTTTGGGATCTTGTGATTACAGATGTTTATAAAACCAATAATGATGATTCAAAAAATGAATTGCTCTAAAATTAGTAGCCTAAGGAAGCCTTAGAGTGCATTTACACTTGTACAAATATTAGATGTACAAATTTTATCAGAACATTGGTATGTAGTAGGGTGATGTATACCATTTATGGGAGGATAGAGGTTAGTTTGGGATAGTTGTATACTTGTATTCTATTTATGATTGAAACGATTCCATTCTATAGGGATGGTTCTGATAGGATTTATATTCAACATCAGAAGTCACAACATTTGTTTTATGATTGATGTTCTAAGTTTTTGGCGTGGACATTATTTATCATCTTACTTTTTCTTTTCTTGAAGGAGTGCTACATGGAGCAATCTCCATATATCAATGACTTGTCTTTTTCGGGATTAAAGTGGGTTGGAGTTAAGTACTTGTATCATTTCTAAGGTGTTAAATATCAGTTATCAGAATATATCGGATGAAGAAAATTTATATCGAATTACGACTATCGAAGATATATCGAAGATAAGTAGTAAAATCAAAGTGTGATGTCAGATGGTGAGCATATATTACGTAATGTCTTAAAATGTAATATAAGCACACTTAATGAAATGTAAACATACCAAATGACTGTAGAGAGAGGACTCATGGTTATCAAGCGATTGAATTTGGGGAGAGAGCAAAGGAGGCGGGGAGAAATTAGGTCTGAATACTCTAAATTCGATGGGAAACAGTGAGCGGGATCAGTTGTTTTGATTTTATTTAGCAGGTACGGGGTTCTAGTCTAAAAAATAAGGGTTCAGAGACCCAAAACCCAACCAATAGTTGGGATTTTCTTTGACAAAATCGACCAATTTAGACCTTTATAAAAAGCAGTCGATTAATAATATTTTCACCGATATATCAGGGGAATCAGTTAAAAATGATAACCTATCTAATTTTCTAGAAATCGTATTGACAGTGGTCTTAACCCTATATATCGGCGATATATCAATAAATCGGCTGATTTTTAAAACAATGATCATTTTACATACTTTCTTCCAGCATTAATAAGTCCTTCCCTTGCTTAATTTTTTTTTTGTCATTTTCCTATCATCTTTCGCTATTTTAACTCCCTCTTCTCTTGTTGATCTTGTTTCCTCATCTGTTTTTCCTTCAAATTATGAAGAAAAAAGAATGTTTGGACTTGGATGCATTCATGGGATTGCCTATTCATGACGTTGTGCACAATTACATCATTGGTATGACAGTTGCTATAATTTAATGTCATCTTCCCTTAGGAGCATTCTTTTAGGCTTTTCATCTTAATCTATTAACGCCCGTGCTTGCACGGGTGGTGCATCAATGAGAGTGAATGGCCTTCTCATATAACATGCATAAATATCAGCATCTGATCCAATTGCTTGGTAAATTTGATAGATGAAATTTTTTTATAGCAATGCAAATAGATGTGATTGTATTGCCATATAGCAGGTTAGAGTACTTTGACATTAAGCCGAAAAAACTGGTAATCAATAAACAATGGGCATAATATAAATTTAGAATATAATATATGCCCCTTGTACTATATACAAATTGTTAATCAGGATATTAATTTATAATATCTATTGGTTGCAATAAATGGAGATTACTTATAAAGCTTTTACTAATTGTTGTAAGAAATCCTAAGATAAACTGAAGTGATAGCTGTATTTTTCATGATAATAATGATAGCCACCAAATAAACCCATCAATGTCACTTCTGACTCATGATAGAAGCGAGTTCCTAATTATGCGCTATTAAAGCAGTAAACTATCATCATTAGTTACTGCACGTGTAAAGTCCAAAACATGAAGTGTACTGTATTTCTATATCGACCTTCTGTTGGATTCTAGGCATCATTTTCAGGAGTAGCACATAAAACTACAATTGAACCTTTCAATCTAAAAAGTATTAAGCAATAAACTCAAGTATAAACAGTCAACCTGAGTCTACATAATTAAGATTTCATCAAGAAGACTTGTACCTAATAATCAACTCAATTCTATACAAAATCAAATAATCACCGGGAGATGAAGCTAAAACATGCTTTTACAGGCCATATTTACATAATAATTCACCTTATAGAGACAACTTCAACAATCATCAACATACTATGAATATGTAGACTATTCCTGGATTAATATGCTTTTCAGTCCAGCTCATTAACCAATCATCAGAATCACCCTAGCACCCACAACTGTACCATAAAGTTTCATCTACGAGACCCATACATCAAACCTAACATTTTTTGAGAACAACATCAAACTTTATACACTCATGAGGATATTATCGCTCTCTGTCTTAGGTGCCTACAATGTCATGTTGATCTTACTGATACATTAGGCAGGAGTATTTTAAGTTTTACGATAATTGAGATCTATGGATGATTAGGAATATAATTAATTTTAGTTAATTAAGAAAGGGTATATTTGTCATTATAAAATTTTGGAAATTAATTTACAGTAGATTTGAGTTTACTGGTTGGATGAGGGAATAATATATATTAAGGAGGAACAGTTTCAGTTTGAGATCGGGTTTTTTTGTGTCAGGAATATAATTAGTTGTAGTTAATTAAAAAAAGATATATTAGTCATTATAAAATTTTGGAATTTAATATAAAATTTGAAATTAAAAAATAAGATATCTGATGGTACTTGAACTTTTGTAGAAAGAGATTTAATTTGAAAATAATGTGTTCCTAAATATGTATCCCTTCCTAAAATATTATTAGAATCTCAAACTAATTGGAAAAAAATATACTAACTGTCACTTAGCGACTTGAACCACCAATATCTCTTGAGTAGTGATAATTGTATACAAGAGTTGTAATACTTTTGTACTACTACACAAAAAAGTGGGGTCTTTTCTTGTAAATTGTAAAGACAAATTATGATTTTTTATGGACCCCACTTCTTTGTATTAGTACGACAATAGTATAATTCTTATAGTACACTTCCATTTCTCTTAGAGATCAAACTGGTGTCTGATATCATATCCAATGCTTATTTTTCCATCTGTCTTCTTGTTCTTCTCTTTCTAGGTTTCTTGTAATTTTCTAATGATCGTTTCCCGTCACCTCTTTGAACTTGGACAATCCTTTTGGAGGGGTACTATATGTCAGATATATATGTTATCCTAGCAGTTCTGATCAAGTAACTCAATCCCAATGCACTAATCTTTAACTTACACCGCCTACGCCTATTAATCCCTGATGATTCCACGATGCTACTTTGTTTTATCCAACTATTGAATATCCTTATCATAGCAATCCCAACAGCACAATCCCAAAATTTCTTTCTACCCCTATAAAAATCATAGCCTTCATCTCAAAAGACGAAGTCGACTAGTCATGTGACATATGTAACAGGAAGGTTTCAAGTTCAGGCAGTGTGACAGCCAGCCCAGTGAGATATTTAATTGGAGTAACTCATGTTACACTTGGGGGGGAAACATAGCCTTCAAGTCAAATTGTTTCCAAATCAAGGTGGAACTGTAACTTCCTTCTTCCTTTACATGCATAGTTAAGACTGACTGAACATTACATCTTGGATAAGTTAGTTCAAGATTTTGTATGACATTTCAACTGAAGATAATGTGTTGGATCTTCCCTGTAACGATTCCCATTTAATAGATTTTAGAGGAAAGATAAAGCTTGACAGCATTACCATTTGATCACAATGAAGCTACTTTATTATCTAAAGTTAGTGTCAATATCATAGAAATGTTAGTGACAGTAGCAATATCATAGTAATGCCTGATTAGAATTTCATTTGCTGTATCTTTCTCCTTTATCATACATTTCTATTGCATCATTCATCTTTTTGTTAAAATCACAAGTGTCAATTGCCATTTTTACTTGAATCCTAATTTGCTGTGTCTTCTCATTTGCAGACGGTAAGGGGCAAGTGCTTCTCAAAGTGTATCACAAAGCCTGGGACAAGCTTGAGCGGGAGTGAGAGCAGTTGCATCTCTCGGTGTGTGGAGCGCTACATGGAGGCTACTGGAATTGTGGGTCGAGCTCTTTTCAGTGCCCAACGTTAACGTTGACATAACTGAAATTTCTTCCTTTGCCCCAATGATATAAAACCAACTCTAGATGGAGGAGCTTCTTTGATTATCCAATATTTATGATCTTCCTATCACAATCTTAAGTACAATCTTGGTGTCTCGATGAATCTGTTCTGTGGGCTTGTAGTGCTCTACTATATGATCCAACGTATGTAAATTCTTCTGTTTGAATTGAATGTGACAATTGCTGAAATTAGTTGTCTTGTATTTAATATATTCTTGTGTTTTGAAAGCTTTAATATAATCTTGTGTTTGAAAGAAACTGCTCAAATCTAAAGGGATTGGAATTAGTAGGAACAAAATAACAAAATACATAGAGGCAAATTTTGTTAGAACTGTGAAAAAGAATGATGGCATTACCACATAATGACGGCCAATAAATACTTAGGAGTATATTTTCATTATTTAGGATCAATTTTTGGTTATGATGATGAGATCGAGGATGAGGTGATTTATCAAATGAAATTAGGATGGTGAGGATGAGGTGATTTATCAAATGAAATTAGGATGGTTAAAGGATGAGCTGATTTATCAAATGAAATTAGGATGGTGAAAGTGAATGGAGTGTCTTTCGAGCCTTATGTGATCGCTAAAATAATCTCGACGATGAGGTGATTTATCAAATGAAATTAGGATGGTTAAAGGATGAGGTGATTTATCAAATGAAATTAGGAAGGTTAAAGTGAATGGAGTGTCTTTCGAGCCTTATGTGATCGCTAAAATAATATTAAAATTGAAGAAAAATTTGTACAGGATAGCTATAAAACCGCAATACTTTATTTGGACAATTAAAAAATAACATGTGCAAAAAATAAGTTTAGCAAAAATGAAAATGATACACTTGAGCGAATATGCATTAAGAGATAGGATAAGAAATAATAAGAAGAAGAAAATTTATCAAATGATCTTAGGTTGCGTTTGGGAACTTGGATTTGGATTTGGGAAGTTGATTTAAAATTAATGGATTTTAAATTTAGGATTTGAAATCCATGATTTAAGAAATCTTTTGTTTGAATATCTTTATTAAATGAAAGGATTTGAAATCTTTGATTTCAAAATCTAGTATTTGGATACTTAATTATACATGAATTTGAATTTAAAATTGATGTTTTAAGAAAATTTAAAATAGTAACAAAAAAACATAAATTTAGCTAATTTTGGCAATGATAACTACATTTGCTAAGTTTTCAAATTCATTATCCACCAGAACTTGCAAGACTTTCAGCAAAATGAAAATGAAGAAAACTCTAAAAACATATCAGGTATCTTACAAAAAAACATCTAAATAATAAATCACCATTGCATATTTCACAGATATCCAGGCTGGAAAATACTTGAGGCTTGTTTCATATTTGACATATATTCAAAGTGAGAATAAGTTGATATCAGAGCAAATAAGTAATAATTCCACATATTGTGCATTAAAAATGTAGCTATCTACACCTTGATTTCAACCCCATAAGCCATCCTCAAACATCATCCTATATCAATTTGGTCTTTGATATACCAAGCTTGAAATTCTACAGAAATTAAAGGAGTGCCCGAAAAAAGAAAAATAATATAAGAAATTTCTAAATAAGGAAAAAAAGGAGGATGACCCTTGAATCACAGTCTCACGCTTCTATACAACAAACGAAATCGCTTGTAATCTTCTTCCACGCCTGCAAACCAAAGACAAAATTTCACTTACAACTTTGATAAAATCTAGGAATATCATCTAAATCTGAATAAATATTAAAAACAAATATGCAACTCACATGAGAAAGGTTTATCTAAATCTTGAATGGAGTGTAGTAACATACCTGCCTAAAGATGAGATTGACAGGCTGGAAGAGTTAACAACATTCCCAAAAACCATGAGATTGAAACAAAATCAAATTTGGTGAACACTAAATGTGATAAATGGAAGCAACAATAACTGCCCTCTTAATCCCTTTTTATCACTAAGCTTCCTCTAGATTCGGTAAGCACCCAAGGTAAGACTTCCTGTCATGCTCAAGGAATGTGAAATTCCTGCACAAAAGGGGCAATCATCATTCATAGTAACCACCCCAAAGCTTTTAAGATTTGCATTAAAGGAGAGCATGCCAACTTAAAACTGAAAGAATGCTTAGGAAGGGAGTACCTGAGTACCTATTCCAGACCAATGCTTAGCCCGGTGACTAATATAAGCAAAAAAAATATATTAGGAACCAGTAAACGCTGAAAGGAAGGGAGAACGGGTGAGAGTACTGAGGACCAACTGGTGATTAGTGAATAGTAAGCAACCGATCGAGCTCATATGGTAGCTTAATACCTCCAAGGACAGGATAAATACTTTGTAAAATAAATTAACGAGTGTGTAATGCAATGGAAGAAAAATGACCAGTTACAGGATGATCAGGTGGTGCATCATCAATGGGACTTGTTCATCACATCTAACAGAATTTTTTACCTGCAGACGAGGGATCAGATGAGAAGATTCATCTATATAGGTAGCTTAGCTACAATCTGTTCTTTTATATTTGCGCCATCCATGGCAGGTTATATGAACAACTTTGATTTGAGTACATTGTAAGTGTAAACTTCTTTTTGGAGGTTAGGGGAAGTATAAAACCACAGGAACTGATCTGATATGAAGCGATAAGTGTCAATACTTCTTCTGAGATAAAACATGGCATCATTGGTCGATCTTCATTCGACCGTGATATTCACAGGTATCAAATTCTGCTACAAACAGAATATTTTGATGAACCTAAATGAAACGAACTTGTACAAAGAGGCATATAATTGTGTATCATTATGCACAATTATCATATCTTGGTGATTATTGAGCTGTCAAAATTGTGAATGATAATTAGCATAGAAGGCCTTGTCCGCCAAATTAACACAACATTCGATGAAATTCTACAACACAACATTAGACAATACAGTCAAGGATTTTGTTTCTAAATGAAATTGCCAATAGAAAGCATAGTCGATCATTTCTGACACAAAGAACAACAACTGCCTACAGTGGTACATTCTAACCTTTGTGGATTGAATAAAAACTCCCCATACTCTCATCAGGTCCAGCCAATTTGGGATAAAAGAAACAGCAACTTTTAAAGCTACAGGTGATTTGTGTTGCATATCAGATGATACCACCTAATACTGGATGAAATTCTACAACTTTCTTCATGTTATTTAGAGAATAGACTGAAGTTGACATTTGGAGTTATCAACATAAACAAAACATAAGCAGGCGGTAACCATCAACATTGTAGGAAATAAAATGTGTAAAGTATAAGCATAATCATATTTACTTCCCCTCTTGTTGTGCACGGACCAATACACAGCTTGCATCCATACTCCCTCTCCAGGGTCTGTCATATATAATGGCGATACAAATCAAAATATAGCACCAGAAAAAACTATGTGGATTGGGTTTTTACTAAGCACTCATTGTAAATGTAAATTATAACATATTATTTTTACAATCCAGTCTGCAGAAGACTACAACCATAAAAATCACGCATGCTATTGAGTAATATCACTCTTTGTCGAAACTAATCATGGGACAGAATATGTAGCCATAAAAAACCAAGAGTAATGGCATTTATCTATATAGGTCCTGATCAAGATTAGCAGTAGACTGAGTTTGAACTTGAAAAATGAGAGGACGAGGGGCTGTAACTTTCTTGATTTTACATGAATGGACACGATTTAGATTTGCACTTAAGTTTCATTTGTTCTCTTATTACTATATTTCTTAAAATAGTGACATAACTAATTTGGAATGTTCCTCAGATCAACTTTTATTTGGAAATGAATAGCCTGATATTGCCAAACTTCAGTTTCTTTCAAGTTATATAAAAACATTGAATTTGATTCAAACCTAAGAAATGAGTTTTCACTTGTTAATCCTGTCAAAATTTTAAAAGTATTAAATAAGTCTTAACTTTAATCTATCTCAACAAAATTGGGGCGAGTTTCCAGAATTTTTGGGCCAATTTTTCGAAGTGAGTTCATCATAGCTGCAAGTGAAAGTTGATGAAAGATCAAAAAGAGGTAAGAGAGGGGAAAATGATCTTGAGAGTGGCAAAGTGATGCTTACAGAACTCTCCGCTTGAATCTCTGCCTCCGTCACCGTCGGATCATCAGAGATGAAGATCTCAGTGAAGGGGAACCTCTCAGGTTAGGGATTTTCGGGGAGAGTTCAAGGCGATGGTTCGGGGCGGCGAACGGCCGGAGACAAAGGAAAGAGGGAGGATAGGTCGCCGGAGAAGAGGGGTCAGAGTCGGAGGCGAGGCGTTGGCTGGAGGTGGCGATTGACTTGGTCTAGGGTTATGAGAGAGAGAGAGAGAGAGAATCGGGATTTTGAGGAGACAGAGATCGATGAGATGAAGGGGGTTGGATTTGATGAATCACGAGGGTCAGCATGGGATTTCAAATCCATAATATTGGGCTTTAAAATCCACCTCTACAAAATCATCTGATTTAAAATCAAAACGAAATTTAAAATCCAAACAAGATATTTGGATTTGGGCTGTCCTGGATTTCAAATCCAAGCACAAATCCAAGCTCCCAAACATAGCCTTAAGAGAAAACCGCCTCAAATTGATTTTCACCACATAATCAGATAATGATAAGAGACAATTTACCAAATGATATTAACAGAAAATCGCCTCATATTGATTTTCATCACACAAGCACAAGAACCAGCCATCGCTGAGCATTCAAATAAGAGTCAGACATTAGTTTAACGCAACCATAATAAAATGTAAATGATTGCCCAGATACCAGATTTATTTTCGTCTCAAATTCACAACTTTTTCACAAATTGATTTTTTTAAGGAGCTTTTGTATTTAGACCCAAATGTTAATCTAAATATGTTCAAACCCAAATATTTTAACTGGTATCTTTAGATTCATTCATTTTTCCTTGTTAATACCTTACTAGGCGAGAGGCTCTTGAACCTGAAATAATCTCAAGAGGTTCATTTTGCTTTGTTAATACCTTACTAGGCGAGAGGCTCTTGAACCAGAAATAATATCAAGAGGGGGGAGAGGGAGGGAGGGAGGGGGAGAGAGAGAGAGAGAGAGAGAGAGAGAGAGAGAGAGAGAGAGAGAGAGAGAGAGAGAGAGAGAGAGAGAGAGAGAGGAGAGAGAGGGGTTAATTTGAGAAGAAGAACATAATTCTATTTCTTTCATAATCAGTGATCTTTACAATTCACTATTTGTACAATTCAATCCTCTCAAAGAAAACGTGCA